CGCATTTCCACCTCATGTAGTGGGAATGCTTTTATATACTATTGGGTTTCTTTTCAACCCTTTATACTATCAGTTTGTATGTCCAGGTTTCTTCATGTGGCTCCCATTCTTGACATCATTTTCTGGCACACTTAGTAGTTCCTTTATCTCATTCTGGTCGTATATTTTCTTCCTCAGAGTTTTCTAGTAGTTCTGAATGATTTGAGTTCTATATTCTGGGACCCTCTGTCTCTCTATGAGGCAACATTCACACTGGTGTCTGTCTGTGCTGGTGTCTGTCTGTGCTGGTGGTGGTTGGGGGGGGGATGTTGCGTTGATAAAACCCAAGGCACTGTTTACCTTTTTTTCTTTAAACTTTATTAAAATGTCACATTCAGAGCTTTGATGTGTGGAAATGGATGGAGACTTGCCGTACAATGCGGAACAATGCAGATGTGCTGCATTTTTTGGCTCCCCTTTGCTCTAAACCTCTCCACTTGTTGTGGGGTGGACGGGGCAGATAGGAAACAATGGTTTTCTATGTGGCCTTGCAGAGCCCAGGGTTGCTCAGGAGCAGAGAAATGCAGGTCTCCGCATATAGTGAATGAGACTGTCTTGCTCAGACTATTATATATTTCTTCCTTTTCTTTTACAAGGAACCTTTAGCATTTAACCCCTTTGGTATCTAATACTCCTTGGCCTGACTTCTCCTGAGTAACCTCTCAACCTGTAAAGGCCGTGACACACTGCAGGCAAAGCAGCGCGGAGCGGTGGCGCGCTGCCTTTGCGAGCAGTGTGTCATGTAATTTTCTCCTGGGCACCTCAGCTGGCGAGAGCTCGCAGAGCTGAGCGTGCCGAGATGAACAATTTCAACTTCAGCCAATCGGCTCGCGCGTATAGACCAGCACGTCGCAATGCGACAGCTGGCAGGTTGTTACGGACGAGCCGATTGGCTGAAGGTGCTGTCAATCATCTGACTGCACTCAGCTCACACACTGCACGCAAAGCTCCGTGCCGGATAGCTTTCCTTCGCTCTGCACGGCTTCACGTGCAGTGTGTCACGGCCGTTAGACAACCAGCTTTATTATCTTGCTTTTCCCTCTGATATTGGAACTGAATATACAGAGTCCCAAACAGGTGTCATTGTCTTATTGCACTAACTCTTTACTGCTCCCTTTTCTACCTAGAATGATCTGGTTAGCTATAATGTTACCTTCTAGGTCTACCAGTTGTTAGGGTTTCACAACCTGTATTAAGTTTGGATCCTGTTCTCTGCGATCCTCATGAGATAATCTGCCCTAATGGACCTTTCCTCATCCTATATATTATGAGAAGAAGCTTCAAGCTTTAAGAACTTTAAGGACACATCCAATCACATAATTTTTTTTTTTTAGGGCTTTCTTTGCCCACTTTTATTAAAATAAAGTTCAAATCACACAAAAGTTTTACCCTCGAAGTTTAATGTACACCTGGTGATCCTGCCACTAACACACTTCCTGTCCTAGGGTGACATCGCTCACTTACTGTATTGTATCCTTTGAGGAACTATGTTGTCACCCTAGGATAGTAAGGGGTCTATTTATAAACAATTTAGAGACATTTGCCCTGTGACTCTCTGTGAACATTTGCGCTGTGCAGAGACAAAAATAAATGTTCTTTTCAGGTCGAATGTATTGTAATATTGCTTTGTAGCCACTAGATGGCGCTGAAGAGCATAGGAAATAAATACTTATTTCCTATGCTCATCCATCTAGTGGCCATAATGCAGTGTTTTCTGAATGTAAAATTGGAGTTTAAGAAGGGAATACAGATGGGATTTTATGAGTGGATGATAGAAAGTATTGCGGCACTTACCTCTGTTTGGAAGGTTCCATAAGCGTGTGTACAAATTGGACTCTTTGCAACCTTCTCGAGAACTTGTCTTTCTATAAGGGCAGTAGAGCGATTTAATGTTCTCTTTCTCACCACCTTCACTGCTACTTTCTTGCCAGAGGCAACATGGGAGGCAAGGGCGACCTAAAAATAAAAAGACGCAGTGTAAGGACACAAATATATAGCAGGTAATGCGGCACCTCTGGGTCTCCAGCAGCACTGCCCAGCCTGGCTACAATTGCTAGTCTAAAGGTGCCCATACACTTTACAACCCTCGCAAGACTTTTGTCTTGCGAGGGTTGTAAAGTACTTAAAAAAACGTACGATCTGCCCATCTTGGACAGGCAGATCGTACTTGCGATCATCGCAAGCCCGCCCCCCTGAGGGGCGGGCTTACGATGACTGCAATGAGGGGCGGGCTTACGATGACTGCAAACACGCTGTGTGCGCGTGCGCACACCGGCCCGTTCGGCAGTTGTCGAACCAGCAGGCCACTAACCCGCCGAGAATTGTACGATTCCCGGCGGGTTTTCTAGCCTGCTGGTTCGACGGAAGACGTGCGACCATACAGTAGAAACGGTTGCACGCCTTCCATACACTGCACGATTCTCGTACGATCGCGGGATTTCCTGACCTCAGCAGCATTCCTGCTTCTCATAAATCTCTGATTACTGACCTTTCCGAAACTTCCTTGGCCAAGTACTTTATGGTAGACGAAGCTGGTAAGGTTAAAACCAGCAGGGGCATCGTGTCCAGTGCTAGTGGACGGCAATGCCTCGCTGATCACCTCCCCTGCTTCACCCACCACCTTCTTCTTCTGATTGGACATCTCACTGATTATGTCGCTGACTATCCCGCCGACTTTTTCGCTGACCACCTCATCAACGACTTCTCTGACCACCTCGCTGACCGCTTTGGTGACTACTAGAAAAAGAGAAACCATGACATGTAATTAGGTAACATCAATAGGATCCCTACTCTACAAAACAAAGAGATCACATGACCTTCCTCCAGGAGGCAAGCCTCACTCTGAAACCTTACCCACTGATTTTTTAATTATTTTTTGCCCGTGGACGTGCATCTTCGGTTCTTTTCCCCACCGAAAACTGATAAGAACAGATACTACACTTGAGCTTAGCCAAAAGGCCGAGAAACCCACTGATATCTTACCGGAAAGGTTTACTCAGAGTAAACATTTCAGGGAGAAAATGCCTCTCTTGTGGACGTCAGGGAGCCGCTATCTAATAGAGGGAGACTCCCTGAACATCAGGGAGACTTGAGATCCCTGAGTGACGTACTCACACATTTTAACGTAATTATAAACATAACATGGAGCCGGCCAAACAGCATGGAGCCGGCTAAGCTAGCAATCACGAAACTGGGCGGTGGGTAATGACACGTTGTCTGGCTTCCTGATTGCCCAGGAAGCCGGCTCCATGCTAGCAGAAGTACCGGTATCGGTGTATCCCTGCTGATTATCTTTCAGCATCATTTAAAACTCTCCAATGCAGCCCACCTATCCCCCTGCCCCTTTTATCTTAAATATGGCGGCTCAGCATCACATCTGGGCTTTACCCAGGGTGGTCTGCATGCAAAATCAGCCTGCCTAGTAACATCCACTTGTGCAGACTGACATCCAGCCATCATGGCATTTTTATATATCCATAACCAGTTGCATTATCGGGGGG